CTACTATGATGGAGCTTTCAAACCAACTTCAGCTAAGACTGCATGTGGAGTGGTGATATGCAAGGAAAGGGGAGTTTTCGATTTTGGCTGTGCAAAATCTTTTCCTATAGTGTCTAGCTTGCTCTTTGAAGTAGAGGCAGTGAGAAAAACATGCCTCCTTGCCGGAGCATAGTTGATCACAAATGCCATTATCATGAATGATTGTATTATCAAGCTTAGCTCCAATGAAGATGTTCCCTTGTGGGAAATTAGTGTTATCATTGAAGACATTAGATATTTTGCTAGGTTATTCAACTTTAGCTTTTTTCATAAGCCTAGAGTCTATAACAAGACTGTTTATTGGGTAGCGGCCATTATGTTAAACAATTCGCTTACGTTGAATTGGTTAGTCTCCCTCCTTCTCGACCTTACGACTTTTTTTTTACTGATTTTAATCTTAACTTTCCTATTTAATGATATGATTACCCTATTTTGTTTTGTTCAAAAAAACAAAAGATTCAAGTCTAATTATGATACTTAAATATTATTTTTTTGTACTAATGAAAACGAGATAGTGTAAAAAATTTAATTTTATTGTTATCATTACAATTAAATCAATCAAAAATTTATTGATTACAAATTATTTTTTTAACATAGTACCAGAAATTTATTTAGTTACCATAACCATATCAATTATAATTTATGAGGAAGTTAGAGGGGAGTAGGTGTAGTCAGATTTGTCAATGGTGTCGGATGAGATGAATTTATATCAAATTTTAGAGTATTCGTATTAAAAAAAACCATTCATATTGTATATAAATTATTCATATCAATGTATTTACTAATTATATTATATCAAATCTATTTATTTAAAAAATTAATAACATATAAAAAGGTTAAAATCACTAATTTCGTATCGCTCCTCGGTGTAGTCAATGGAGGTTGGCGTAGTGCATAGGATCCACTGAGTAAGTGAATGGGCATTGGGGCCCAGAGTGTTTATGATTTTATTTTTTTTTTAAAGGGACAGAGTGTTTATGATGAACTGCTGAAATTCTGTAGTCGATTGGTGCAAGCTGTCAGGCGGTGTTCTTTGTCCATACCCCCCCTCCTCTCTCTCATCACTTTATCTAAATAATCCCACGTAGGGAATAAATTGAGGTGGGGGAAGCCGTAAAGAAACCACCGCTCACCTGTCAAAACGGCGGAGGTGCTTATTAAACAACGAGAACACTACGCTATCCAACAAAATATTTCAGTACTCTATCTCACCAGATTTTATAAGTTTTTTTTTTTTGCCAGAAATTTTATAAGTTGAGGTATAAGTTTTTTAAGTTATTTACAATCAAAAAAGTTTATAATTTGATGGTTGATTTTATAATTTTTATGGTTCAAATTAGGGGTAATAATCATCTCGTGTTGGATTCGTGCTATTGAGAATTCGTGTCGAGCACTAATTAATTCTAATTCAACCTATTTAATTAATCGTGTCGTGTTGATTGACATGTTTGTTTTCATGTTGGATTTGTGTTTGTATTCGTGTTAACTTATATAAACTTCAAATAAATAATTTAACGGTAAGATTTTATTATCAATTAATTGAGTTTATGCTCATATTTTTTTCTATAAATTAATAATTAATTTAATAAACATAACAATAATAATGAATAAAAATGTCTTTTTGTATAATAATTATGTTAATGCTTAATAAAAAATAACAAATAATTAATATTTTATTTCTATAATATTAGTTAAACGTGTTAATTATGTCAATTTCGTGTTTGACAATAACTCAACTCATTTATTATTCGTGTTAATGGATCGTATCATTTACGAATTTGTGTTGAGATCAACGCTAACAGGCTAATTTCATGTCGAGTTCAAATCGTATTTTAATGTTGTGTCAGAAATTGTCACTCTTAATTCAAATTATAATTTTTGTGGGGTTATGTGGGTATAAAAAATTATAAATGACTCCAAAATATTATAAATAACCTCCAAAATTTGTTTAAAAATCATATAATTTGCAAATGATAGTATGGTACTAATTTTTTTAGGGTAAATTGTAAGGGGTATACCAAATTAGACTTATGTTTTTTTATATATACATAAATACACATATATATATACAAATTTTGAACTTTAATACATATATATATATATATATATATATATATATATATATGTACAAATTTTGAAATTCAAACAAATATATATATATATATATATATATATATATATATATATATATATATATATATATATATATATATATAAATATTTATGTATGTATGTATATACTTGTTGTTAAATTTTTTATCTAAATTTTGAATTATCTTTTAATGCACCTTGATTCATGTATTTTTTTTTAGAAAGTGATTTTATTTTCAAATTAATTTAATATCCGAATAGTGTAATAGTGCAACAATAAAAATGTAACACTAACAATGTAACAGTATAACAATAATAGTGTAACAAGCTATTTACACAAAAATATTGTACTATTAAATTTTATCAAACATATAGTTTTTTATAATTTCATTCAAAATAGTTCATCTTCGTTTTGAATTTGTTACCATATACACAAAATTACTAAACACTATTTTTGTTACAGTGTATTTGTTATACTGTCATTGTTACAGTGTTTTTGTTACACTGTTATTGTTATACTATTACATTATTCGGATATTAAATTAATTTGAAAATAAAACTATTTTCAAAAAAAAAAAACGCTTGAATCAAGGTGCATTAAATATAATTTGAAAACAAAATCACCTTTCAAAAAAAAAAATACGCATAAATCAAAGTGCATTAAAGATAATTCAAAATTTAAATAAGAGATTTAACAACAAATATATATATATTAACAAATACATATGAATTAAGGTGCATTAAATAAGTATTTATATGTATTAACAAACAGACATGAATCAATGTGCATTAAAGATAAGAGATTTTAAATTAAATGGCCTTAAAATGGGCATTTATGTCTTTTTAACTCACATTTTATTCTATATACTTTTTACCAAATAAGTCTAATTAGGTGTATCGCTTTCCAAAGAACTCTTTTTTTTTTCCAAGGTTTTCTCCATTAAACCATGTCATTATTGAATTCAGGCCCAATAATATTTATCACCGCACAGGGATCCACCGGATCATGGCCATCTCAAGCCCACCATGCTGGAATATGTGGACAGCCAGACAAGTTGTCTGGTTAATACCCAAGAATCAACGGCCCGAAAATTTTTAAATTGAGAACATTAAAAAACAGATGGAAGAAGATCCACCTGAAGCATAGTCCGCTAAAGATCTTTAAGACTGGACTGGTCCGGTAGACTGATTGTAGGCCATAGAATTGCAGGACAGGTAGCCCATCTGCCCCACCTGGTACCCTTTGTGTTGGTTTGGACGAATTTTTGGGTAGGTTTGGATTGAATTCTATAAAATCTTCCAAATCTAAATTCCTCTTTACAAGTGCAGGACAGATAATCTATACTCATGGTTGATATGTAACACATATACATATAAAATTCACGAATATATCACAATTATTAACAATCATTTGTTCTATGAATGATTATTTGACCTCTTAATCAATTTAATTCATACTCATGTTAATTATTTTTTATATCCTTAACCCGTTAACCCATCTTTCGAAACCCACCCTTTTAGGTTTGACGAAAACTATAATCATGGGTTTAGTATCCGAGTCAGTTGCAGGCTCGGTTTGGTAATCCAGAATTGAAACTTTAGCACAAACATAAGATTTGGGGGTCCTTTAAACTATTTTTCTCAAACCTTAGACATCAATTCCCCTCGCCCACAAAACAAATAGATCCTTTGTGTGCTGTTGACAACCGAGCTTGGGAGACCTTTGGATGATTTAAGAGTGTTAATCATATCGTGTTGTATCTTGTCATGCTACTTTTGGTTGTATTATTTTCATATCAGGTCACTTTTAGTATGTGTTGCGTTTGTATTAATATTTGTGTCAATAAAAAATTATTTAATTTCACAACAACTCATATAATACTATTTAAAAAAAATTAAAAATTCTTATTTTTTTGTCTACAATACTTGTAAAATATTTATTTTCTATTTACAGTATCCGTTAATCGTGTTATTTGTATTGAATTGTAATTTAACTCATTTATTACATATGTCAAATTAATCTTGTCATTTTCAAATTTTGTGTTGAATCGAATTTGTATTAATGGATAAAATTAATATTGGATTTATCCAAGACGGTGACATGCAATCGAACTCTAGACAAAAATACTTTAGGCGATATTACTTCGAGATTACAAATTTGAAATTTAAATGATTTAGACGATTCTCGATGAGCTAAACTAATCCTCGAATATACTCCAGCTCCACAAATCTTTCTCTAAATGTTGATTTGAAATCTTCTGTCCCTTACTCTAAGTCTTTGGCACCCAACTCTGGAGAGGGTTCATGGTCCCTACTCTTTTTTTATGAGCTTATAGACCATAAATAATGGTATGATTCGCCCGCAAGATTTATCGAAAATCCATCAGATTACCACATCCAGAATGGCTCACACAACAGTAACAGTGCTTATCAGTGACCACGAGTGACTATTGATGGCGTTCGTTCACAACAGTATTTGCCACCTCTTTCAAGTTTTGGTCAATAGTTTAACCAAATAGTGTTTTGAAATTCATTCCAAGAAACGGTAACTTCAAAGCATTGTGATTAGAGTTGATAATTAAGCCGAGCTATTTGGGCTTAAACTCATGTTCTAAATGAGTTAAATTTAAATAATTTTTTAAACTCGCTTAAAACACGAGCCTAAAAACTTCAGTTCAAACTTGCATAACTTAGCTCGTTTATATATAAAATAGTCAAACTATATGGGTTCAACTTGTTTTAGGCTCAACTCATTTTCTAAATGAGCTGCGCTTGAATAATTTTTTAAGCTCTTTTAAAAAAAATGAGCTAGACAGACTTGGTTCAAGCTCACAAAACTCGGCTCGATTATCAGTCCTAACAAGTGAACACACGACATAACCTCGCTACGAGCCTCACTCTGCACTGTCTAGTGTCCTCCTCTCATACCATCCAAATATAGTAAACCAACAAACTGTAATATGATAACAAACATGCTGCTAGGAAATGTAAGAAGATATCCATCTTCAATTTTCAAGCAAGAAAATCAATGAGCCGTGCGCCAAAAATTACATCATCAGAACTCTAAGATTCTAACCTTGAACAGAGAAACCACCATTCTCTACACCAAAATCAGAACAAGTGAAGCTGAGGAAGCATCCAGGAGGGAGATGATTTCGTTACACCTTTTATTTTTTAAAATTCTCTCTTCCTTTTTTCTTCCTCCTGGTCCAGAGGAGGGGAAGTTATAAAATTTCTCCAATGCTTGCTTTAAGGAAGCACTGTCCTCACTTCTTTCCTATCTGCTCCAAATGCCTGCAACAGATCACCAAATGAAAATCTGATGTCAAGCCAGTTAAATAACAAGCTTAAGAATGATTACCAAAGACTGATCTGAGTCATCTGATCACCATTTATCCATTAATCTGTTATATTTTTAAGAAGTAATGACACGTATGTATCATAACAAAAACCATATGCTACATATGTAAACTCCTACAATACAATAGCATCTCATTTGTTAACACGCTGCTACAAGAAAAACAAATCAAACCACCATCGCCAAACTTATATTGGATGAAATCCCACAACTTGTGTTCCACCACATAATTTCTGCTTATTTAGGTTGAAGAAATTATGGTGTTTTTGCAACATATTAAAATTAAAAAAGAGTTATTAGTACTAATCAGTAATCTTAAAAAATATAATATTATTCTCAAAAATGCAGCCAAAATTAAATAGTTTAGATAAAGTTTTGTTAAGTTGAAATTTACTCTGAATAATATGTCTGTGTTGTTTCCGAATTAAAACAGCATCAAAATTGAATATCATACCAATGCTGCAAGTCTACAAAAATCATGGTTTTTTAAGATTTGAATCTCTTAGTTACTGTTTTGCAAACTCCAAAACATTTCTCTTTCTGCTCTTTGACTATCCCCTTGTCAAAGGATCATCAGCCTCCATGTTTCATAAACTTAGGTTCAGGTAATCGGTGTGACTGTGATGTGAGTCTAGTTATCAGATTTACTTAATCCGGAAATCCAAAAACATGGCCAAATTCAGATTTGTTAATGTCCTACATTTATTTCTGTTGTAAATTGTTTATCACATGCATTGCATGTGCACTTAACTCATTTCAGAGCATTTGGAATTCTGTAACAAAGGGCCATACATAAAATTACAAAGTGGGCCTCCATTACCAGATACTATTGGCGCACATCTGATAAGTAAATTTCCATTACCAGATACTATTGCAAGGGAAATCCAGGTCCTTCGGGAGGAGGAGTTACAATGAGGAATCATGAAGGACACGTCTTAGTGGTGGCTTCGTATTCCTATGGGTGTTGTACTAATCTGGAAGCAGACGTTTGGCCTTATTGGAAGATTTGGAAATAATTATGGATCTTGGTTTTAACAGATTACGATTTTATCATTGGGTTCGATTCTAAGCTACTAATTGATATGGTGAATCAAGGGATCTCTCCTAGTTGGAAACTATGGTATAAGTGGCTGACAATTAAAGATGTCCTTCAAGGTATTAGGTTTGTTATGGAAGGAAATATAGTGGCAGATTTTTTGGAAGTCTTTTGAATTTTATGATATTCCATTCCAAGGAAGATTACTTATTCTCCAAGATTTTCTTCAAAACGGAAATTTACGTAAAGGAAGGTGAGACATTAGTGGGAAAATTCAATTCTTATAAGAGCCAATCTGTGGGTCTTTTATTTGTAAGTAGCGTGCATTTTTTAATTTTATTCTTTTATTATTCCTTTGAAATGATGTAGCCTAGATTGCATTAGAGCATCTACAACAAGATTTTGTATTTTAGCTATCCAAAAGTACATTTTTTCTATTTAGCTACTCACTTTTTCAATTCACACTTCAATAGATTTTCTATATTTTAACTACTCTTAAATATTATTTCACATATTTTGTACCTTTGTTCGGACTATTGGAGGGCGAGAGAGAGAGAGAGAACGAAGAGAAAGACAGAGAGTGGACAATAGAGGTGTGTAAGGATAGGAGAGAGAAAAAATTGTAAAGTATTTATACAAGTTGATATAGTGATGCTCTACATTTAGAGTACTACTGTAGCAAAAAACTATTTTACATGTTCTCTTAGAGATGCTCTTAGAGGAGTAAGGCTCATTACGTCCCCCTTGGCTAACTGTAATTCTTTTTTGGATTAATAAAACTATAGCCTAGCGATATTGAGGTGAACCCAAAAAAAACTGACTGATTGATAGATTGATAAAGATGTCGTCATTTTTTGAAATAATATAAACACTAACAGATCATGAGGAGCTAAAATCTACCTCAACTCCATAACCTTTCACGTAGACATTGGTGAAAAGTTCAGAAGGATCAGGCATGGGGCTCTCCTGGAAACACACAAAACAAAAAGATCATGAATCACCAGCAATGCAAAAAAACGCATAAAAGCTAAGCTTTCAAAAATGTTCACACTTCCGAAGTTCACTTATTCTAGAACTACTGAATGGACTACAAATACAAATCATGCCATGTTTTACCTTAGCTGCTGCGATGGCTTGATCTACCTCTTTTCTTATTTCCTTCTCAATATCCTGCACAAGATTTCAATAAAATCAACCAGCAAACCTCAATAAGACGTTACTCTCTAACAGGAAAATGAGATTGATCACCCTCATTTATGATAAAGAGAAGAACAAATGATCAAGTAATTGATCATTTCAAACATAGAATTTGGTAGGGGTAAATTCAAACTAAGGGTTTCAGATCTTCAGATACCTTTAGCTCTTTCTCAGTGGCTATATCATGAGATAATAACAGTTTTCTTATTCTTTCAATTGGGTCACGCTCCTGCAAATAACATAGCAAATCCAAACTAAGGAATACCCATCATACGAGACATCTCAGAGAGATATTTTAATATATTCTGCAATCAGAGAGAAAAAAGGGAATATATCAACCTGTCTCACGCCAGTTATCTCATCACGTGTGCGATACGTGCTCCCAGGATCAGACATCGAATGACCATGGTATCTGTATGTGTCCATTTCAAGAATCTGGACACCAATATCAAGAAAATAAGAATTAAGAAATCGGACGTTAATGATATATGCCACTCTTAGTTCCAATAATAGCACATAATATGGCACACAAAAGTAAACATTAAAAAGTCTGACCAAAAGAAAAAGGTAAACTTCAAAAAGAAAAGCAAGGTATTTTAGTTGTATGTCAAAAGAATATAAACGTACAAGTTTCACAGATTGAGAAACGGCAATATGCAGCTTCCATAATAACCTTTTACCCTATTGAAACACTAGGGAGGTTCTCATGCAATGCATGGCCAAGTGTGCACTTCTACTTTTAGTCAACTGTGAATTGTTTTTACTGTAATAAAAATAAAAGCGGGTAAATTTACTATGGTTAAAATACAAGTTTGATTAACAAATTTTTAATGCAAGTGTAGTTAAACAATTTACTGGGGTTAAAAAGTTTATTGTGATTAAAATATAAGTTGTAGGATAAACAGCTAAATCTAAATGATCTGGGCTATTGTTGTCCTTTATGGTAAAGACACTTTTGTTTTATTAAGTAGTTATTTGGGTATATGCGGTTATCTAACATCAATTTGGTGTAAGAAAAGAATATCCTAACCCCCTTCGGATAACTCTACATGTCCCATATAGCATATATATCTCATTCTAGTAATTCCAATTTCCAACAGCATGGCACTAAACAAAGATATTATTAAATACAAAATAAATCAGAATTTGGGAATATATTTGACCGTGCCTCCTGAGTTTTTTATTTTTTGGGTATATACATCCTGAGTTTAAATACAAATAGTAAAACATCTCTCTCACGAGTAAAGTAAATGTAAAGCCCTTATTTCTTCTGCCTCATTGAACAACTGGGGCGAAGGAGAGGGGCAGTCCAACATCTCCACAGCTAACTTGGGGAACACCCAAAAACACCTACTCCTACTTTGTGTCTTATGATTCATTACAAAGAGAGGAACCACTAAAATTGTTGAAGGGTAGAATGACAAGTCATAAAATAAGACCAATTACTGATAAATGTACTCACGATTGGTCCATTCTTTAAAGCGTGTTCCTTTGCAAATTTGCATGCTTGTTTCACAGCAAGGGCATCCATACCATCCACCTGTTTCAAAGTAAAATGTATGACCACATATACCGAATAAAGAAACACATAATGACATAGAAATAGAATCACATAAGTAACTTAGGATTGTGTACTCATCCTATCAAGCCTTAATGTTCAATTACACATGGGATGGTCATGATAAATTTCTTTCTTCCGCTGACAATAATTTGGAGCTGCGAATAAAAAAAATATACAATTGCACCAGTCATCTAATACATCTTAATCTCAAGAATTGAGTATAAAATCACTGTATAACTAAGGACCAGCAAACATAAACTGTCAAAACCACTTGCAGCCACACAACACAGCTCTAAGTTATATAGGAAGTCGAGCTAAGTATAAATTCAGGAAAAGATCTTCAAAACTCGCCCTGTAAAACGGAAGAGGATGAAAATATCTAAGAGATAGAAAATGCCATAGAAAAGCATTTAGAGATAAAAACATATTTTGGAAATCTAAGTAACGGTAAGTCATACAAATCAAACTTTATGCCCTCCAATGAAATAACACCAAAAGTAAACAAAGTAATCCATATTACATCAAGAAGTTAAAAACTGAAGGACCGGAGAAAGCTCCATTACTTATATTACAACCATTTATGAAGAAGAAAGACTAATACATCCAAGCCAAGTAACACCCACTACTTCACATTCTAAATTAGCACACAATCATAAACTTCCACAGCCAATATCTTTAAGCAAATATTCACATTCTCACACACACCAAACCTTGATTTCAGCAAGATAAAACAGCACAAGTACTCAACCTCCTCAAGCAATCACATACACAAAATCAGACCACAACAAATGCTATTCAATATCACCTTCAAACCAGGAACATAGTCTCCTCTCTTATAATAGGCTGGACTCTTTGCTGCCCTCCACTCAGCCGTCCCCATCCCATCTGCAACAACAATCCAAAATCAATCAAATCACATCATCTTCCCCAATTACATACGTAAAGACAGTGAAATGCAGCAACATTACAAAAACATTCATATAAAATCATTTCTTAACCACCTAAACAAACATACAAATACAACAATCCATAATCTATCAAATCACATTCTCTTTTAGTGGCACTTACAGTGATTGTTCTCGCAAACTAAGATCGCAGGAAGATCCCAAAGAGCAGCCATATTCAAGGCCTCGAACAGCTGCCCCTGATTCGCCGCTCCATCTCCATAAAGCGCAAACGACACATTATCCTCCTTACTATACTTCTGCGCAAAAGCTAGCCCACAACCTAATGGCACTTGAGCTCCCACAATCCCATGCCCTCCATAAAAACCATTCTCCTTCTTATAGAAATGCATCGAACCACCCTTTCCCTTTGAACATCCATCCTTACGCCCCATTAGCTCTGCAAATGTTTCCAATAAGGTTCCACCACGGCCAAGGTATAAGCAATGGTCGCGATACGCGGTGATGATGTTGTCCTTTCTGGTAATTGCAGCCTCCATGCCGACGGCGACGGCCTCTTGGCCGTCGTACAGGTGGCAAAAACCGCGTATCAGTTTGGCTTTGTAGAGTGAGTCGGCTGCGATTTCCATTCGCCGCATTTGCGACATGTCAGTGAAGAAGGTCATGAGTTCGGAGGACGAGGTTGTGACGGAGCGGGACGGCGGGTCGATTTTGTGGCCGGTGAAGGGGACGCTGGTCTCGATGGTGATGGACGAATCGGAAGAGGTGGAGAAGAGGCGAGTGGTGGGGTTGATTGTGGTAAGGGATTTCAGGAGATTGGAGCTCCTGCGAGTCAAAGCCATCTCCGTCGTTGGATTGCTTGACCGGTGAGATCTGTGTAACTGTGTAAACGGAAAGGTTTTGGTGAGATAGGGGAGGCACCGACGAAAAGTATCGGAGAAAGGAGTGAGTAGTTGAATAGAAAATTAAATAATAATATTCTAATATTTAATTAAAAACAAAAAATATCACCTTTTTTTTAATACATAAAATATCACTGTAAGATTGATTCTTTTAAATGGTCAACATGGGATTAACTCAACTCGAAAGAGGACTGAAATGGTAATTATAATGAATTGCAAATTCAATCATTTTAAATTTAAATTTTACTATTTTTTAGATTTAAGAAAGATTTTTTGCGTGAACTGTAGGTGAAAAAAAACAAGAGATTAGCTTCGGCTTAGTGGTGCAATCAAACGGGTCACTAGGGGTCCGTTTAGAAGTATGGATTGAAAAATAAGAGAATCATATTTTCTAACTTAATTTTTTTTTAAATTATTAATTTATACCCTCAAATATTAAATTTTTTAAAAAATAATGTCATAAAAATAATTACAATTTGGATATGGCACTAACTTTTGTTACTATTTTTTTTAAATTCTGTGACGTACGCCACACATTGATTTGACATAGATAATAATGAATGTTATTTGGGATATTTAATAGGGTAAATTATACTCACTCTTCTTAACATTTGACCAAATAACAGGAGGCCCCCAATATTTTTAAAATTATATGACAACCCTTTGAGATTTAAAAATCATGACACAAGCACCCCTCTTGTCTTCCCGCCATTAGTTTGACTAACAGAAAACAGTGATATCATGGAACAAAATATATCTAATTTCAAAATTATCCCTTTATGTCCAACATTTTTTAAGATAATATTGTTCACTAATTATCATAATTTATCATTTTACCAACATTTTTTATGCAATTATAAAAATTAATCAAAGATTAACATTAAACTATTACATTTTGATTAAAATTAATAAAAAATTACCATCAACTAGGATAATTAGTTCAAACTGAGAGTGGTGATTTAAAAATGATAATGGCAGTGGTAGTGGGGGGGGTTGGGAAGATTGAGTTTGGAGTGATGGGCGAAGGGTGACAGTTAGGGGTGGGTGCAATAGGGTTTGTTGTAGGAAGAGATCAGAGGGGGGATTTGAGAGGAAGAGAGAAGAAAAGTTGACAAATAAATAAAAGGAGTTAGGAGTATGGATTTAGAGTGGTGGTGGCAGTTGAGGGTGGGGCAATGGGGTTTGTTATAAGGAAGGGGGCGGGGGGAGCTGGGAGATCTGAGAAGGAGAAAAAAAAAGAGATGTGGAGAGATAAAATAAAAAAGGGGGGGGGTTGGGAGTGATAAGTTTGGAATAGTGTTAGTGGTGGCAGTTGGATTGGGTGTGACGAGGTTTGTTGTAGGTTGGTATAGAGAGAGAAAGAAAGGAGAATGAGTGGTGGCAATGGTCATAGTGTAAGGGATGAGTGAGACGTCAATCGGTGGTGTAAAGGCTATGATGGAGTTTGTTGCAAGTTAATTTAATTTTTGATAATATATTTAATTTTATTACTTATTATGTATTATTTATTTTATTTTAAAATAAATTAAAGGATTAAAATAATCATTTATCACTTGTGTTAACGCGAGTCACTGACGCCAATAATGGGTCTCCGTGTTATTGTAGAAATGTCAAAGGGTCTCTATTTTATTTAGTCAAATGTCAGGGATTGTGAGTATAATTTATCCTATTTAATATGTAGTGGAAAAAAAATGAATTTTTACGAGTGCAAATTAAATTTGTTAATATCATTCAAGAAGCAAAATGTGTTTTGCCCTTAACACTTAAATATAAAGTAAAACAATTAGTAAAATAAACAAAAAGTAGTATATCACAATATTTTTGTGAGGTTAATAGTACTATGATCAAATTTTAAATTGAATTTAGTGGCCCTAAATAAATGATGATACTAAACATAATAAACAAAAGAATTAAAAAATAATAATAATTAGTATGTGAATGTGCCATATCATGTAGACTGTAAAATTTTAATTTCAAAATTTAGTCTTATATTCTGTTTCTTATTTTCCACCTAAGGGTGGTCAAGGATGATGGAATTTGCTTAATTTGATAAAACTTAATTTGATATGTATCGCTTTATTTGTTGAATGTGATTTGATGGATTGACCCGGACCCGTTAAGCTAAAACCACGCCCGAAATATCCGTGGTATATGTGCATTGTTATCTTTAACTCGTAACAACTCTAAATCTCTCCCGCCATGAGCTCCTCTCTCTCACACATTCCCACAGCCTATTCTCTCCAACCCTCCGCACGCAAAGCTTTTCCATTTCTTCAACCCCTAGGGTTTGCTGCCTCAAAAATCTCGGCGCATCGACTTCAAAAAATTCTCAATTACGAACACTCTACAAGAGGTCGGTGTTCCCTGTAGAGACACAACTCTCCGACGAAGATGATGAAGATGACGACGACGACGACGATGAAGCCGCTGATGAATACGTCGTCGGCTCTGGTGAAATTTCCGATGGATTTGAAGATATTGAGGACGAAATTGAAAGTTCAGTGGTGGATGTTTTGGAGACCAAGTCGAAGTTTGAGGAATTCAAATGGCAGAGAGTTCAGAGGATCTGCAATGAGGTCAGAGAGTTCGGTGAAGACATTATCGATGTCGAGGAACTCGCTTCTATTTATACTTTTCGCATCGATAAATTCCAGGTTATACTTCAGTTTTTCGTTTCACCTAAAAGTTACAATTTTTTTTGTTTTGAAAATATAAGAATTCATTGATTTGTATTTGCTTTTTTTTAATTGTTCTTAGAGATTGGCGATTCAAGCTTTTCTGAGAGGTTCTTCAGTTGTGGTTTCTGCGCCGACAAGTAGTGGAAAAACATTGATTGCCGAAGCTGCGGCAGTGGCTACGGTAGCTAGAGGAAAGAGAATATTCTACACCACTCCTCTTAAGGCTTTATCTAATCAGAAATTTCGTGAGTTCCGGTATGCTATTTAATTAATGTTTAATATATCGTGTTCTTCGACGTAACCATTGAATCTTTTGTTGTTTATGTTGGGGTTCTTCTGGTGTTTTAGTGAGACATTCGGTGATAGCAATGTCAACGTTGGTCTTCTGACGGAGATTCTGCAGTCAATAGAGATGCTCAGGTTCTAATTATGACCACAGAAATTCTTCGCAATATGTTATACCAAAGGTACATTAGTTTTTTTACAATTTACCTTCGAGTAACACACCATGTGCTACTTGCGGAAGACACGTTTCAATTGAAAAAAAAATGTTTGGAAAATCTGAAGTAGAATCAAGAAACCTCCGTTGGGTGTAAATATGTAATCATGTACTTTACGACTATAACTTAGACTTTCTGATTTG